AACGGCGGTGAGCTACCCAGTGAGTGTGTTGCTGGAAAGCCCCTCTGACGATCAAGTTAGCACTCTTATAGAGAAGAAAAATGAGATAAGAATGGTTTAGTGTAATAAAATTGTAGACATTTTGCATGAAGGCATTGCAGGACTTATGTAGTTTATGTGCGCACTACCTTGCTTGTCTTTTCTTGGATGCGTGGATGTACTATCATCTCCTTGCCTTACACGTGTATACGTTAATACTGCCAAATAATAGTAACTAAACCTCCAAACGGTATTTACGTGTACTATTGATGGGTTTTACTCCTCGGACTCCAATTAGGCCATGTAGCATACATCTGCCGAGCTAACCCTAGCTTGGTTTAACCCAGACATCTTTAAGATCGATCTAGCTTTCTGGCCAGACTGCCGTAAGGGGCTTTTCCAGCCCGACACAATATGAGAATTCACAGCTTAGTCAAACTTTGTGCAATCTTGCATGACAAGAACTCATAGCACAGTCAACTAGCTTGTCCTCGTCTGTCCTTAGTTCGGTCCATTATAAAGGCATCGACCCAACTCGGCTGCGATCCTTACTCCGTCAAGGATGGCATTCTCATTCCATCTAGCTTGGCCTATGACTTCGACCCATCTAGCTCAATCCCAACATCATGGCCCAAGTTAGCCTAGCTGCATGGCCAAGGACAAGGCCCACACTCGATCTTTGCTCGACCTATTTGTACAGCACAAATCTCCCTCTCACTTAATCCTCAACGGAAAAATATATTTAGCACCCAATTCATATTTCTAATGAGATTTATTTTCTCTTCCTTCGTTCCAACCCCATTCTCTCTCTTTTTATTTATTTTATATATATATATCATTTCCTTAAGCAGTTGTCTTCAACAATGAACAAATGACCAAGAGTAAGAGCCAACTTGTCCAACATGCGTTATCTAATAGATTGCAATAAAAATGCTCATCTCTAATTTCTTTCCAATAAAATATGAGTTATACAAATGATTGTAGACTGTTTTTACAATAAAAATAATGTTAAAATAATAATAAAAAGATTTATATTCTTAAATGTGTATGTATATTTTTACACGTGTATAAAAAGCAAATAATTTTAATGAACGGTCATTAACATTTTTCTAACAACATTTTAGTGGGAGAAATAAAACCAAAAAAAAAATTATTTACTACCAAATTTATTTCATCTCTTTGCTTCACAAGAGTGATTGCATTGACCTCCTTTTAAAGTTTTAATATGATTGAAATGATCGAAACTAATTCAGTTAATATGGAAATTCAAAAATAAGCAGAGTAAAATATACATTTTAGTGTGAAAAATACAAAGACGAATTACACTAACAGTCCCTATAGTTTGTGACTTGTATCACTTTGGTTCCTGACTTTTTAATAGTGACACATTTGATCATGAATGTTAAATCTTGTTCCAAATAAGGACAATTGAAAATATCATTACTTAATTTCAAGGACAAAATCGTCAATTTGATAAAATAAAAACTAATTTGACAAAAAATAAATGTCAAATTTTTTTTTGAATTTTTAAAAATTATTTCTACCTACTAAAGATAAAATTATGTAAAATTGATAAATCTTTTAGACATTTATTTATTTATTAGGTAAATTATATTTACCTCCCCTGAGGTTTCTGACAAATACAGGGACCTCCCCTGTGGTTTGAGTAATTACAGTAACCTCTCCTGCTTTACCTGACAATATCAAGATTCCCCCCTTCCATCAGATTGCAACAAACGACGTTACTTGCATATATTAAATGACCATATTACCCCTTCATTTGAGGTCAAAAATATGAAAATACCCTTTGTTCCATTAGGGTCATCTTCCTCAGAGCTTGATTTCTGAAACAGAGAGTGAGAGATAACCCTGAAGATGCCCCACTTGGGAAAGCCATGATGGAATTAATTATTTTAATCAAAATAAGCAAGACCCAGTTGATAAAAATCACTAATTTAGATATATAGATGTAGGGATTTATATATAGTAATATAGATATATATATATATATATATATAGATTTTTACAAATAGTAATATATATATATATATATATAGATATACATAGATGCAGAGATTTGTATAGTAGAGATTTATACTTCTATAACAAAGGGTTCAGTAAGTATGCGAGACCAAGGAATAAAGAATAGGGGTTCTTTTCTTTTCCTTTCTCATTTTTTTTTTGGTTTCATCATCTGCCATTTCTCATGGCTGAAACAAAGGATTTTTTACTCCTTTTTTTTTTACCTTTGCTACAACAGCAGGCAATAGTAGCAAACCCATAACAATATTTACGCATATCATATTTCACAAAAATAGCCATAAAATTAACAATTAAATATTACCTTCATGGTTATATATATATATATATATATGTAAATTTGAGATAAATTAAATAATTTTAATCGAATATAACGTACACACACACACACACACACACACACATATATATATATATGTGGCATATATACAAATTAGATAATACTTGAGGGTTGGATTAAAGAATAGGGGCTTTTGATCTTTGCAATTTCCATTGATCCAACTATTTTCTGTTTCTGAGCATGGGCGGTGGTGTAGCGAAGGCAACCGAATCAAACAACAAGATTGTTCTTTCAGTTAGTTGACTGTTAAGTCAACTAACAGATTTTGCTGATATCAGCAATTTAGTTTTTTTAAATACTAATTTTGTCCTCACTGGGTAAATTACATTGACACCCCTCATATTTTAGAAATTACAATCCCCTCCCCAAGGTTTAAAGTAGCATTACCAATTGCCCCATCGGTTCCTGTTGAGCAACAACGCCTCGATGACGACGATAGAGAAGAAGCCTCCTCGGAGTTTCTGCCGCCATGTTTGAAAGAACTCGGAAGCCTCTCAAATGGTGCGACCATCGGAGTAGCTGCAGATTCAACTTTCTTGGTTTCTTCTTCTCCCATTATTATATGTTTATATATATATATATATATATACTTATATATATGTGCTAAAATGAGCAGTATCCAAAAAGAACTCATAGGCAAAAATAGATTGAGGAGAGAAATGGAGACCCAAATCAAAAACTTGAGGGCATTATAGGAATTTCAGTTTTTATTTTTGATGACATCAGCAATTTCTGTTAGTTACATGAATGACAGTCAAAAAATGGGGGAATCTTGACATTAAAGTAGGGGAAGTTACTGTAATTATTCAAATCACAGGGGAGGTCCCTGTATTTGTCAGAAACTTCAGGGGAGGTAAATGTAATTTACCCTTATTTATTTATTACCAATTTAATTTTTATTATGTGTTTGAATGATGATCATGTAATGAGTGATTGTTTTTATTTTCATTAAATTAGTTTCTATTTTTTTAAAAGTCAAATGTGACAACAATTTTGATATCGTTATTAAACCACTCTATTAAATTAAAAAATCCAAAACTAAATTTTTTTTATATATTAAATATATTGATTACACATTAAAATCTTAACAATTACCCATTACATGATCATCATCTAAACACATAATAAAAATTAATTTGGTAAAAATAAATAAATAAATGTCCAAAAAATTATCAATTTACATAATTTTATCTTTGGTGTGTAGAAAAATAATTTTTGTAAATTTAAAAATATATTTTTGACATTTATTTTTGTCAGATTAGTTTATATTTTATCAAATTAACGATTTTTAAGCAATGGTATCTTCAATTATCTTTATTTGGAATAAGATTCAAAATATAGGTTTAATGTGTTACAATTGAAAAGTCAAGAACCAAGGTGACACGAGTCCTAAACTATAGGGACTGTTAGTGTGATTTGTCCAAGATATAATAATATCATTCTTCATCCATATAACTAACAAAATGAAAATTATGTGCTATATAAATTAAAAATTTTAATAGAATTCAATATAATTATATTAAACTTGTAAGTCTTCTTGTATTTTTTTCAAATATCTGGAGAAGCCAGTATAATTCACCCTATTAAAAGAGAGAGAAAAAATGAAGAACTGGCTACCTATATTACATAAAAAATTAAACGTTCAAATAAACAGGTAACATAGAGGTTAGTTGTGATAGGAGATTTGTTCACACACGTGCACCTGGTGTATTGTTTACACGTGTGAACAAAGTAAAATAAATTGCGTAATTTATAAATACATATCTTGAGATTTGCTTAAAATATAAATTATTCTCTATGATTTTAAAAATTATATCATGTCCCTTAAAGTTTCTAATTTCATATCAAATAATCCTATTCATTAACAGTTTTTTCATAATGTTAAAATTTTATTTTAATTAATAATTCAAGTAATTTTATTATTATATAAGAGAATAGTTAAAAATATATATATTTTTTCAATTACTTCCATTAAATAAAAAATTCTAAGAAGAGGATATTTGTAATTTTTCAAACTATAAGAGGTAATTTATATTTTAAAAAAAATTCAGAGGTTTATTTGTAATTTATTCAAAAAATAATAATAAAGAAAAGAGTGGGTTTTCTTGTAATTAATCATTAATTTGAAGTATAATCCTCTATCCAACGGCTAGAAACAGCTAAGAGCGTAACACGGGGTTGTTTGGAATAATCTAAGGGCTAGTTTGGCATGTACTAAATAAGTCAAAAAGTCAAAAAGTCACTATCTTATTTAAGTCACATCATCTTATTTAAATCACATCACCTCTCTAACACATCGCATCAAACCCAACCTAAACCCAACCCAAACCCACCAATAAGTCAAAAAGTGCACTTTTTTAGGACATCCCAAACCAACCCTAAATAAGTGTATTTTTTATCTTTTTATAAAAAAATATAAAAAAAATAAAGACGTAATGTGATAAAAAAAAAGTAAATGAATTATATTAGGATGCCAAACTTGGCCATAATAATTGTTAAGAAAAAAAAGGAGGGAAATCTCTGTAGCTGTCTGTAGTTTATACTCCCCTCGCGCCGGCGAGGCGATATTATCCTCGCGACCCAGCAAAAGTCACTCACTCTCTCTGTCTCTAGATTGGTTGAATCTTCATCAAGAAGATACGGTCCTTTTCAGTTAGTTGAAGTGCTCTCTCTCTCTCTCTCTCTCTCTCTTTCTCTCTCTAAACATTATTGTCTTGAGAAGTAAGCATTATCTCTTCCTTCTCTTCATTTTTTGTTCCCTATAAACCAAATCCTGAATTTCAATCCATAATAACCCTCCTCCGCACTCTCCAAATCAACCCTTCTTTCCACTACCTTAAAAATCATTCTCTATTTTTCCCAATCCAGAAATCCAATACTTTCCCGGAAAATCAAGCTCATTTTCTCATCCCTTTGTTCAGTTGTCTTGTCCTCTCTGTTTCTTGCCAAATCTCGAATTTCAATCCAAACCCTCTCTACTCTCAAAATCAACCCTTCTTTCCAATATCCAATATCCTTAAAAATCATTCCATTTTCCCACAAATCCCCACTCTCCCAACCCACAAATCCAACATTTTCCCGGAAAATCAAGCTCATTTTCTCACCCCTCTGTTCAGTAGTCTTGTCCTCTGTTTCTTGCCAAATCTTGAATTTCAATCCAAACCCTCTCCACTCTCAAAATCAACCCTTCTATCCAATATCCAATATCCTTAAAATCATTCCATTTTCCCACAAATCCCCACTCTCCCAACCCACAAATCCAACATTTTCCCGGAAAATCAAGCTCATTTTCTCACCCCTTTGTTCAGTAGTCTTGTCCTCTATTTCTTGCCAAATCTTGAATTTCAATCCAAACCCTCTTCACTCTCAAAATCAACCCGTCTTTCCAACATCCAATATCCTTAAAATCATTCCATTTCCCCACAAATTCCCACTCTCCCAATCAACAAATTCAGCATTTTCCCTGAAAATCAAGCTCATTTCCCCATATTTTCTCACTCATTTTCCCTCTGTTTCTTGATCTCTACGACAATGGGCAACTGTTTCGGAACACCCAAGAAATCAACGGCCGAGATAGCACCGTCGGAACTCCTGAAAAGCAGACCGGTGGTCCGATTGTACGGATCACCAACAAGCATACTGACCTCCTACATCCGAACCGCGCTCCTCTACAAGCCAGTCTCTCTCCAATTCGTCCCCACCGAAACGCATCGTATGGACTCCGAAACGCCGGTACTCCAGTGCGGATCCGAGACCGTCTCGGGATCTCGCGAGACGCTGATCCAGTACATCGAGTCGAAGTTTCCGGACCCACCTTTGATGAGGAAGTGCGGGGGGTGGGAGTGTGAAACGACGCCGTTGGTAGTGAGGGTGGCAGTGTTGCAGCACAGGAGCATGAGGTGGCACATGGAGAGGATGGTGAGGTGGGGGGAAGATCTGGCGACACGTGGGGGGAAGACGAGGGGGGATCCAGTGATGGGGAGTCCACGGATGGAGGTAAGGAAGTTCAGCAGAAGCTACTCGCAGTTGCTGGAGGTTCTGCTCGAGCACGCTCAGATGGAGGAGAAAGTCGTCTTTCCCATCTTGGAGAGGGCTGATCGAGGTAATTGTAACTTATTGGTTTTGCTTCGCGTACCACTGTATCATAATTTTTGTAGCTTTTGTGGAAAAATTATCCTAAATATGTATATATGTGTGTGTAAATTACACTTAGCCCCTTTATATTTAGTCATTTTCTCACTTCGACCCTTATTTTTTTCCCTTTCATTTTGATCTTTCATATTTTAAATTTTTTCTAATTTATTTTGAAAACTAACTTATGTTTAAAATTAGACAAAAAATAATATATTGATAGCCACTTTATATATAATTCACACTTTTTACAAAAAACCAAATTATATCATGTGGTTGCTAACGCGATATTTTTTTTTATCTAATTTTGAAACAAAAATTAGTTTTAAAAGTAAATTGAAAAAAGTTAAAATATGAAAGGTCAAAGTGGGGGGAAAAAAATTCAAGGACAAAATGCCAAAAATAAAAGGAGACAAAGTGTAATTTATTGGAGGGAAGTGATTGAGACCCCCTCCATCATTTTGATCTTTCATATTTTAAATTTTTTCTAATTTATTTTGAAAACTAACTTATGTTTAAAATTAGACAAAAAATAATATATTGATAGCCACTTTATATATAATTCACACTTTTTACAAAAACCCAAATTATATCACGTGGTTGCTAACGCGATTTTTTTTTTTAATCTAATTTTGAAACAAAAATTAGTTTTGAAAGTAAATTGAAAAAAGTTGAAATATGAAAGGTCAAAGTGGGAGGAAAAAAATTCAAGGACAAAATGCCAAAAATAAAAGGAGACAAAGTGTAATTTATTCAAAAAGAAACCTTGTTTTGATAATAATTAAAATCTTAAGGTTTCGTGTGGCAACTATATGTTTTAAGTAAAAAGTTAAAAAGTTATTATAAATTATCACATCACTCTCTATTTTTCTACACATCTTTTTATAAAAAATAAAAAATTATTAAAATAGCTAGTTACTTATGAATTTCTAAATTGATCTCAATTTACATTATTCACCCATGTCTATGCTGATATAAAGGTACTAATAAAAAAGATAATTTTTTCAATTAATAACTTGAAAATGCATAAATTTTTGAATTTAATTACAAATACATTATGATTCTTTTTTATTTTTATTAGGCAAAGCTCTGTTTGGTTTTGATTTCCAGAATTCACTTTTCAGGAAATTCTGTTTTTTGTTTTCTTTATTTTTTTTTTGTTTTCATTGATTTTTAAGCAATTTTTAAAATTTTTAGACACACCTAACATAAATATACTTAAAAAGTATAATATTTGTGAAATAAATCTTTAAAAAATTCACTAAATATCAAAAATACAAAATAAATACAAAAATTCAGTACATTTTTCATATTTTCGTGTATTTATTAATTTTTTAAAAATATTTTTTCACAATATTTATTTTTTAGATGCATCTAAAAAGTAAAAAAAATTGCTTAAAATTTTAAAAATATTCACAAAAAACAAAAAAAAAACATGAAAAAGAAAACTCAATTTTCAGAAAATTAAACTTAGAAAATTGAAACCAAACAAACTGCAAAACCCTTTACACTTTTATCAACTACCTAAATTACCCTTATTCTAAACTGTTGCATTTCTCTCCTTTCAAGTCCTAAGAGGGGTAATTTTGTTATTTGCAAAAGTTACGTAATAAAATCAAAATATAAAGTACATTAAATGAAAAAGGATTGGGAATAGGATTCCCACCCATTTTAAATTGTTGTGTTACATATGATCTAATGATGGTGAATACAAAATCTCTTTTGTTTTACAATTAATCAAATTCTGAATTAACTCATTTATAAATTTGAAGTATTCAAATTAAAGAATGATTGGTTGCTTAAATGAAATTATCTTATCTTAAATTAATTACAAATTCATATACAGTTCATACGAAAATGGTGTCATCTCAAACTTTGTCTAGCAACTATACACATTATGAATCGTTCATTTGTAGATTCCGTAAATTCACATTTGAAACGAAATGACAAATTTATTTTTGATAAAGAACACTAAAAGAAAAAAGAAGAATGCGACCATCGACTTTTTTCAACAAACCCCACTCTTTCTTTGGTAGTGTAGTTGGTTCTTTGAGTGAAGCTGAAAAAAAAAGAAGGGGTGCTTGCTTTATGAAACTTCAATCTTCTTCCTTTGTAAAGTAAGCTCCTTTTTTTTTTGTGAATGTCTCCTCAATAAAGATGAATGAATCTTCAGCTACAAGTTCTGAAAGTGCAACATCTAGAGAAGGCAAAAGAGACTTGTGCAAGAGCTTGGCCTATAGTTTATTTCATTTTTACAGTCGATAGATCTAATTATCTACCCATGTGTTTATTAGCATCATAGGATTATATTATTATTTACATTGTTCGCTCCGACGCGGAGTTGTCTGCATGATCAAGGCTTATGAATTTGTCTTTCTTCACAAATAATATTTTGACTGTGGATGCTTTGCATTGCCAAGTGGTTGAACTTTACAAATTAATTAATGGTGGAATTTGTTTTTGGAGGGAATATGAGAAGAACACATAATTGAAGCTATAGAAACCTGAAAAACATATTGAATAGAAGTTGTTTTGTTCCGTTGTTGTGTAATTGCTTTGCATGATTGCAAATGGAGTACGATGAAGGTCAAGAGAAATTGTATGCTCTTGGAAAAGTTCTATTGTGGAAACGATGTAGCTGAAATAGTAGGATCTGACAAAAGAATATTTTGCTATTTTCTACTTATATACATAATCTTCTTCATAATTTTTTTTTTTTGGGTTGAAAACCCTAGTCTTACATTGAGATATTTTTGAACGAGTGGTTGATTGAAATCACCAATTAATGCTTTGGCTTAGGGGAAACAGATTGACCAAAATGATTAGCTGTGGTACTTTAGCTTGAAGAGAATTTCTGATTAGAACACGAAGTTTTTACCCCATTTTTGTAGTTATTATGTCCGAAATCATGCTTTTCCAATAGAAACATTGATGTATTATTGATTTTTTAAATAGAGGAATGCATTTGTGGTACGATAGAGATCCTTCATTTCCATGAGATGCAGGATTATCCAAAGCCGCAAATGAGGAACATGCAAGGGATCTGCCTATCATGAATGGCATCAAAGAAGACATTAAATCCATTGGGGTGTTGGATTCAGGCAGTCGTGATTATCACGAAGCGCTATGCAACCTTTCTACTCGGCTCAAAACATTACAGGTTGGTTCAGTTCTGCTTTATTCAAATTAGATCATGTGGGATGCAAAAAATTTGTGATCCAACAATGATCTGTATAATAATATCATGCATGTTACAGTTGAAAGAGCCCTTTGATTTCCTTTTAAGCTACTGCTTGTGTAGCGCAAATTTAGGGCTGGTTTGGGAAATTGATTTTTAGTAGCTTTTTCTTCTTTTTTTCACTTTTTAAAAATCAAGTTGTTACTAGAAAGGTGATGTGTTCCCAAATGCTAAAAAAGTAAGTATTTTTATTGGGCAAGTTCAGGCAAAGCAATTTTGTTTTTTACTCTAATTGAAATTTTTTTCAAAATTTTTATTTTTTAGATCATTCTAGACTAGAAGGACTTGAAAAATAAAACCTTTCAATACAAAATTTAAAAATTTCACTAAATCCAAAAAAAAAAAAAAAAAGATGAAAAATATGATTTTTTTATTTAAATTTTTTTTAGCACCTGCCAAAAAGGGATGAATTTTGCAAAAAACAGTTGTGTTTTTTTCCTCAATTGTCAGCTAAATAAACTGTAACCAAAATAGCCAAGAAGTTTTATTTTTTTTCCAGTGTTTCCAAAACAGAGTCTAAGACTAACACATGTATGAATATTGGCAGGACCATTGCAAAGAACACTTTGAGGAGGAAGAAAGAGAACTACTGCCATTGATGGAGGCGACAGAATTCAGTAGAGAGCAGCAAGAGAAGGTGCTGGAGCAGTGTTTGGATGTAATGCAGGGGACTCACTCGCACCTGTTTCACTTTTTCATGGAAGGCCTCCTACCTCAGGATGCAATGCACTACTTGGACTTGGTAATCAAAAGTAGCAACAAAGAACGCGTGGCCTCGATGCTCCGCATGATTATTGAGTAAGATCCTTCCATTGGATCCTACATCTAGACAAATCATTGCGTATATATATTTTTAAATCAATCTGTCAGTATTATTCTTTTATCTTTGCTTCAATCTGAATCCTGTATGTTTTTGTAAGAAGATAGAACTAGCATTTTTTTGCGGTCTCTCTTATCAGTTACTTATGCCATATGAAATGAGATGGCATCCCATATTATTCTTTTATCTTTGCTTCAATCTGAATCCTGTATATTTTTTTTTTTTGGGTGTGTGTGTGTGTGTTTTTTTTACATTGTTTCGAAACTTTAAAATTTAAATAATTCTTGATGTAGAACTTGGTTTTCGATAAAATTAATATTTTTGGGATCCGCTTGTTGAAATCCATCAAACTAATCCTACGATGAATATGAAATTTTGGAGAAGAAAATTTGATCACATTTTACTATGTTAATGTTATTAAGATAGTGAAATTTCATTGATTTGGGACATTGAAAATTTAGATTCGGAGCTAAAATTACAAATTGATGCTCAATTTCTAAAATTTGATATCTAATTTCGACTTAAGGGCCAAATTTTTTCAAATTTAGTACAAATTCAATTCAATTATTAAAATTTCTACAAAATTGAGATTGCTTTGCTCTATTTTGATTTTTTTTTAAAAAAAAGTAATTTTGCTGATTTAGGATTTTAAAAGGGCGAATTATACTAATAGTCCCTATAGTTTGGGGCTCGTGTCACTTTGGTCCCTGACTTTTTAATTGTGATACATTTGACCCTGAATTTTGAATCTTGTTCCAAATAAGGACAATTGAAAATATTTTTACTTAATTTCAAGGGTAAAATCGTCAATTTGATAAAATATAACCTAATTAGATAAAAATAAATGTCAAAAAAATATTTTAAAATTTTTAAAAATTATTTATACTCACAAATGATAAAGCTATGTAAAATTGATAAATCTTTTAAACATTTATTTATTTTACCAAATTAATTTTTATTATATGTTTGGATGATGATTATGTAATGGGTGGTTGTTAGATTTTAAAGTTTAGTGGATATATTTAATGGGAGCTTTTTTGATAAATCCATTATCTAGGAGTTTTATTCCATCAAATCCATATTCTTTTTGACTATTCCATTAGGTTCAATTTGAGATAAGAAGACCAAAATACTCTTTTCATCTACTTATGTTCCATTTAATTCACATTATTTTCTTATATTTCAATAAGTCCTATGGGTGACATAATTACCAAAATACCCTTAACGTGAATGTTCACACCGTCAATGTAAATGTTTATATCGTCAATGTGTAGGAGCCTGGCCCATGTCGATCCTCGTGGGTGCCCGGAAAAATTCGAGTCGGGCCGGGCCGGCACACTAGCCAAAAAAATAGGCCCGACCCAGCTTGTTGATAATACGAATATTCACATTGACAAGTTAACATTCACATTGATAGGAGTGTAAAATTGGCCTGCGGCCCGTGGGCGGGCCGAAACCAGCCCGTCGCCCGGGGCGGGCCCGGGCCGGCCCGTTCACAATATGAATATTCACATTGACATATTAACATTAACATTGACAATAGTGTAAAATTGGCCCGTGACCCGTGGGCAGCCCGGGCCCGGGTTAGGGCGGGCCCGGCCCGGCCCGTTGACAATGTAAATATTCACATTGACATGCTAACATTCACATTGATATGAGTGTAAAATTAGCCCGCGCCCCGTGGCTGCCCGAAACTAGGCCACGGCCCAGGGCAGGCCAGGTCCGGCCCGGCCTGTTGACAATGTGAATATTCACATTGACATGTTAACATTCACATTGATAAGAGTATAAAATTAGCCCGCGCCCCGTGGCTATCCGAAACTAGCCCACGGCCCGTGGGCGGCCCGGGACGGGCTCGACCCGGCCTGTTGACAATGTGAATATTCACATTTTTTTTTCAAAATTTTTATTTTTTAGATCATTCTAGACTAGAAGGACTTGAAAAATAAAACCTTTCAATACAAAATTTAAAAATTTCACTAAATCCAAAAAAAAAAAAAAAAATGAAAAATATGATTTTTTATTTAAATTTTTTTTAGCACCTGCCAAAAAGGGATGAATTTTGCAAAAAACAGTTGTGTTTTTTTCCTCAATTGTCAGCTAAATAAACTGTAACCAAAATAGCCAAGAAGTTTTATTTTTTTTCCAGTGTTTCCAAAACAGAGTCTAAGACTAACACATGTATGAATATTGGCAGGACCATTGCAAAGAACACTTTGAGGAGGAAGAAAGAGAACTACTGCCATTGATGGAGGCGACAGAATTCAGTAGAGAGCAGCAAGAGAAGGTGCTGGAGCAGTGTTTGGATGTAATGCAGGGGACTCACTCGCACCTGTTTCACTTTTTCATGGAAGGCCTCCTACCTCAGGATGCAATGCACTACTTGGATTTGGTAATCAAAAGTAGCAACAAAGAACGCGTGGCCTCGATGCTCCGCATGATTATTGAGTAAGATCCTTCCATTGGATCCTACATCTAGACAAATCATTGCGTATATATATTTTTAAATCAATCTGTCAGTATTATTCTTTTATCTTTGCTTCAATCTGAATCCTGTATGTTTTTGTAAGAAGATAGAACTAGCATTCTTTTGCGGTTTCTCTTATCAGTTAGTTATGCCATATGAAATGAGATGGCATCCCATATTATTCGTTTTATCTTTGCTTCAATCTGAATCCTGTATATTTTTTTTTGGGGGCGTGTGCGTGTGTTTTTGTTTTTTGCATTTTTTCGAAGCTTTAAAATTTAAATAATTCTTGATGTAGAACTTGGTTTTCGATAAAATTGATATTTTTGGGATCCTCTTGTTGAAATACATCAAACTAATCCTACGATGAATATGAAATTTTGGAGAAGAAAATTTGATCACATTTTACTATGTTAATGTTATTAAGATAGTGAAATTTCATTGATTTGGGACATTGAAAATTTAGATTCGGAGCTAAAATTACAAATTGATGCTCAATTTCTAAAATTTGATATCTAATTTCGACTTAAGGGCCAAAAATTTTCAAATTTAGGCCAAGTTTGGGAAGACTAAAAAAGTACACTTTTTGTCTTTTTGGACTAAAAAATTGAGGTTGAAAATATGGATGTTTGGGTTAACTTTTTGACTTTTTATTGAAAAATGTGTAATAAAAAATTGTAAAAATTGATTTGTAAGAAAAAATTTGAATTGGGAGTTGTGCAGCCGTAATTGTTGACTTTTGGTGAATAGTGTTAACTTTTTAACTTTTTGAGTAATTTTTTGGCTTTTTAACTTTTTTTAAAGTCCCCAAACTTGGCCTTAGTACAAATTCAATTCAATTATTAAAATTTCTACAAAATTGAGATTGCTTTGCTCTATTTTGATTTTTTTAAAAAAAAGTAATTTCGCTGATTTAGGATTTTAAAAGGGCGAATTACACTAATAGTCCCTATAGTTTGGGGCTTGTGTCACTTTGGTCCCTGACTTTTCAATTGTGACACATTTGACCCTGAATTTTGAATCTTGTTCCAAATAAGGACAATTAAAAATATTTTTACTTAATTTTAAGGGCAAAAGTGTCAATTTGATAAAATATAACCTAATTAGATAAAAATAAATGTCAAAAAAATATTTTAAAATTTTTAAAAATTATTTATACTCACAAAAGATAAAATTATATAAAATTGATAAATCTTTTAAACATTTATTTATTTTACCAAATTAATTTTTATTATATGTTTCGATGATGATTATGTAATGGGTGGTTGTTAGAATTTTAATATTTAGTGGATATATTTAATATATGAAATGTTTTTAGTTTTGAATTTTTTGATTTAATGGATTGATTTAATAATGATATCAAAGCTGTTGCCATATTTGACTTTTGAAAAAATAGAAACTAATTTAATGAAAATAAAACAACCACCCGATCATCATTTAAACACATAATAAAAATTAATTTGGTAAAATAAATAAATAAATATATTAATTTTACATAATTTTATCTTTAGTGCGTAAAAATAATTTTTAAAAATTCAAAAATATTTTTTTGACATTTATTTTTATCAAATTAGTTTATATTTTATCAAATTGACAATTTTGCCCTTGAAATTAAGCATTGGTATCTTCAATTGTCCTTATTTGGAATAAGATTCAAAATTCAGGGTCAAATATGTCACAATTGAAAAGTCAGGGACCAAAGTGACACAAGTCTCAAACTATAGGGACCGTTAGTGTAATTTGCCCATTTTAAAAAGAGGTAAAATTGTAGATTTATTTTCGTTTTGCTATGAGGAAGAAGCTTCCATGGCTCATGCCACTATCAACTAGGAAGCAACGACACTCTATCTAAATGCGACAATACTTATGACTCTCTATCTCAATGTAGGGGTGTAAATTGGGCTCGGCCTAATCTATGTCGGGCGGTTTGAGTTGCTGTCAAAATTCGGATCGGGCCGATCTAGAAAATTAGGCCCAAGCCTACGCCTACAGGGTATTCGGGCCTTGGGCGAGCCAGGCCTTGTAGCTTTGCTTTTCGTTGCTCCTTGGATGGGTTTAGTCTCCTTGGATACGATAGCCCTATAGTTCGGACTCTCGTGGTTCTGAATCTGGTTTTACAAGTGCAATGTGAAACAGAAAGAACACAAATGAGTCCAAATCTGACAAGTTTTTAGAGAAATTCATTTTAATCATTAAAGATGCCAGAAATGGACTACATTTCCATATTTCAGAGTTGCCACCTAAATATTTTTGAAAAATTTAGGAAACCCGTGACTCGTGCCAAAGGCCACTTGTCCGTCATATCCAAAGTGTCTCGGCTCGGGAATTTAGGTATGAGAGGAGAAGGTCATGAATTGAGCACCCCACTCATCCGATCAAAGATCGGCCTCTACTAATCATGATATGATTCTTATGTACAGTAAATGCTCTTATTCCGATTATTATTCTATCTTGACTATGTGATAAACATAAGTATAGACTAATTCACCCATTTTGGAACGTTTTGATTTCATGTTTGTTTTGAAAGGAGTTGTGAATATGAGCTACTTAAAAAAGTTAGCTCATCTGTACATCAATCAAAATCATTCAAACTTAAGTGAAAAAGCCTTCATCCACCGGCATTCAAGAGGTATATCAACTAAGCACTTAGCCTCATGGTAAACATGTTTGATATGGCAACACCAACATACATGCAATATGCTAAAGTAAAAATGCTCACCTAGTACTCAAC